CTGATTATGCTCATTAATGGTAAGAAATTCACATTCTGACTCTGCACCCGGAGCTTCATTGTAGTTTCATTGCTTTGTGGCGAACCAAGAATCACGCACTTCTAGAGCAAATACCAAAAATACAATGGTTGTTTCCAGTGACGTCATTTGGGATAATTATCGAAGAACGAGCGATTTAACGAATTTTTGTATATATAGAATGTAGTTAAATAATCAACTACTTTATCTATTGGTACCTCGGTAAATATACTACTGCCGATTCTGAACTCTACTCTCCCATAGAAAAAAGTATTTATACCCGAGTTAATACTGGTCTGTGTTTTATTAGAACGATAATCATTGGATACGACAATCGTGAAGCCATTATCTCTGCATTCCAAGGCAGATACGACATTATTCGCTATCATACTTTCGGACATGTTTCATCAAACCCATGTAACCTGTGGCCAAATACAAGGATAATGTCAGAAGGTATTTTTACATCAAATTTCCATAATTTCAGAAATCACGATATTGAGATGAATGAGGAGATCACATAATCGTTATTTATTAATTCCAGGTTAGAATGCAGCTACTATCCATCTGAAATGAATGCATAAAGACGAGTTCATGCACGCTGTTCGATCCTATATCTTAGATTGATGATGTTCTAATTAACGTGCACCTGTGCGGTTACATGAATCAAATGTTGGTTATCTTAGCTCACTCCTGTTTAGGCGCCAATGGCCGCAAAGGTGATACGTTAAATTCCAGCAAGTTTTTGTCAATTGTTTTAAAACGAAACGACAACGGAATAGCACATTATATCAACGTACAAGGTGCAACAATCTAATGATATTATTCAGTATCGCAATGTACAATGAAGCATTGATTGTTATAGAGAATCATTGCATTGTCATCAGTAAGATGTAGGTATACTATTCAGCATTTAAGCTACATTATTAGACATTTAAAATAACAAATATGCAGTGTGAATAAAAACAATCGTCCATGGTCAGAATGTAAAATTATCATTTGTGATGAATGCATCTAGGCACACAAACTTTCGTTTGAGGTATTGATAGAATTTGAAAGATATAAAACAACGGGACAAATCCATTTGGTGGAACTTTACTTCTTTCAGGTGATTTCAGACAGATGTTTCTGTTATTCAAGTTCAACGGGCGTAAATGAAATCAACGCTAGCTTAAAATCATCGCGACTATGGCGTAATATTGAAAAAGTGCATATGACAGTAAACATGCGCGTTCATATGCTTCAAGATTCATCTGCCGAAACTTCTTATAACAACTGTTAGATATTGTCAATGGAGGAATTGCTATGCGTTAAAATACAGGATGCATAAAATTACCGACGAATTTTTGCACATTCATTAACTCACAAAATATTCGCACTTAACTTTAGATATAGATTCGCAATGAGGATCAATAAGTCACAAGTCCAAACGTTGTCTGTTTGTGGCTAAGTTTTGGATACAATATGCTTTTTCCACGGACAAATCTTTGTGACATGTTCTCGAGTGGGCAAACCCTCCAGTTTGTTTCTATTAGCTAAGTACGGACTGAGCAAAAATATTGTTTACTCGATTTCGTTGGGAAATTAATCTTTGTTTATTTTTAATTAAGAATAATTTATTAACATAAATAAAGTAAACTTATTAACATAAATAAAGTAAACTTTAATCGTCTACAACTCTTCATTCCTTTTTCAATTATATTTACATCCCCAACACACAAATACTTTTAAAAAATAACGTATATGTCAGATCAACGTTTGCCGGGTCAGCTAGTATATTTATAAACATAAGCTTGTTTTCAAAATTCCAAAATAAAATAAAATGTTCAGTAAAATGTCAAATGGAAAATTCTTTATTTTTTTTCATTAACAAATATTTGTATAAATCATTTTCGAAATTAAACCTCAAGTACAATCCCTTGGATTTTTATACCGGCAATTACGTCTTCGCCTTTATTCGTAAATAATATTTTATTATAGTTATAAGAAAAAAATATCAATGTATATCATGGCCAAAGCATCGAAAACTTCAGTTTTTTTCTTCTTGGACGCACTATGTGTAACCGGTAAGGCTGCGAGTTTAATCCTTTGAATTCCTATACCTGCAATATCGTTTTGTCTTTATTTTTATATAATATTCCATAACTTAAGGACCAGTCGTGGCATAATAGCCTTCCAGACTAACCGATTAAATACATAAACTATGTTATTATAATAATATTTAGTGTATACTCAGGGCCGTAGAGAGAAAACCTGGGATCAGAGGGATGTAGGGTTATGGCCCCCTGATCCATCAATTTATTGTACACTTTATTTATTTTAGGAGAATATTATTTTAATTTTGATGATGAACGTTGAGAAGCTTAATTTTAAATTATAGTATTGCAGCCAAATATTCATATAAAATATTATTATATTAATTCATAATTGGAACAATTATGGTAAATTTTTGGAGAAAATAATTGTTATGAAGCACTGTACTGTCCTCAGAATTTTAATGTTTCAACTGTTATTAATTTTTTTGGGTCAACTGTTATTATTCAGCGTAATTTCAATCCAACTCAATTATGTAATCAAAAATATTCCCGGAAATATAATTGTAGCAACAATTTTGACTGGAAAATTTAATAAAGAAATGATTCGCTTGATACGTTTTCCAATGATACTGTCAGAATTTACGAATTTGAATCCAATTGAATTTGAAAATTTGTATAACTGTATATATTGAATATTACTTATTTGTTACAAACTTAAATATAAAGTTTATTTGTGTGTAACAACAAAACTAAGAAAATTTGTATCATTTGTAAATTTTAGATTAATGTTCAAATTTTAACACCGGAAATAACGTTTTCGTTTTATTCATAATTACAATTTTACTGTATTGAATAGTAGATGATTACTGTAGCATGTGTATACCTTAGGCAAAGAAACACGTGGCCGGGGTCCACTAGTTTCAAATTTTACTTAACCACATTTTATGATAAAATAAAAGCCAAAGCGAAAAAGAAGAGAAAAACAAGTAAGGAAGTGCTAAGTTCGGGTGTAACTGAACATTTTATACTCTCGCAAAGTGAAAAAGTATACCATACTCATATCAGAAGTAGGAAATGTCGCATCAGTTATTTACATTCACAGTGAAATGTAAATTAATTAGAACAATTTGTATACTAAATTCTCAAATTATGAAAAATCGTACTTGAGAGGTATATATATATATATATTCTACAGAGTATTAGAAAACTACAAAAAAAAACAGCCAAATCGGTCTAGCCGTTCTCAAGTCATGACGTGACAACATGAAACGGGTTTAATTTTTATATATACCTATAGATGTCTTATAATAACAGGTAACAAATATAATTTTAGATTTCTTAATTAGAATATTTATGTTTTAATATATTTTATATAATAAAGAAAGAAAAGTTGCATTAAGTTTGAAAACTTTACTTTGAAATGGAGACACAAATACTTTCATGCTAGTATGCACTGTCCCAAATGCTAGTATGCACATCAAAAAAGTTTTATAGATAATGACCGAAAGCTCAATTCACTAAGATTCAGTGATCATTTTCGTTTAACGGAGTTACGACCTAAAAACTTTTTAAGACAAATGGATGTACTATTCTTAATTTTCAATTATTCTCATTTCATAATTGTATAACAACTTTCAAATGGTATGCGCTCTTTTATCAAAACGGCAAATTTCAGAATGTACTATTTAACTGTATACCTCAGAGTACGTACGTTTCAGAACACAACATATTGTATCAAATGAGAATACTTCGCCCTTCGCCTGATGCTATAACTAAATGGTTATAGTCTAAGTTTTCTACAGGAATATTTTCCAAAAGCGTCTCTTGGCCGTCTGTATTTAGCTTTGGAGGTACAGGTGCTATAGGAATATGATTACCTGAAAGGTAATTGTATTCCAAATGCCTTCTTAAGTGAATTTGTATCACATGAAGCTCATAAAACGACCTCGGTATTGCTACCAGAAATGGGTATATTAACCACAGCACCTTTGAATAAACTCTGACCTGACCTTGGGCTAAAAAGAAGGCGAATGCAGTATTCGGGTGGCATTGAGCAAAAGTTTTGAAATTTAATTTGCGTACTTGGTGTGAAAACCATATAGTTGAAAATAAATTTTTGGAAATCTATAAAATTGTTCCTATAATTAGGATTTTTAGATCTTTCCGCCTTGTCCTACGTTGAGCAGTATATATAATTCATTCAACGTATCTCACCTCGGGATTTTCACGTCGAGACCTATGTTCCCGAGAATTTCTCACTTGCTCTTCAGAGTGAATTTGGGATACTGCCACCTTGTTCTGTGTTGAACAGTATTTACAACTTAGTCAACACATCGTTTCTCGGGATTTTCACGCCGCGATCTATGTCCCCGAGTATTTCTAATTTGCTCTTCAGGGTGATAGTTGGCTCGGAAAGAAGTACTCCGGGATTTAATAATAACTTATACAATGACTTTGAATGAAAGAATTTGCATAAGTCAAATTAGTTTAAACGACTTAGTAATATATCTCTACTTATTTTAATGATTTATATACTTTTATGGATTCGTCCGCCCACTTGCTTTCTGGATCATTGCGTACGATTGTTAACATTTAGAATAATTGCCCGTTAATGTGCGAAAAATTCTTAAAATTGAAAATAATTTAAAGAAAATTCGTATATTTCATATATAAGCATATACCTACATATCTATATCTATACTTCTATACTAATATTATAAATGCGAAATCCGTTTGTTTGTTACGCTTTCACGCAAAAACTACTTAACCGATCATCATGAAACTTTGTACACATACTCTTGGAGGTGTCGGAATGAACATTGGATACTTTTTATTAAAAAATCTATAAATTTTTACGGATTATTAAAAAAATTATTTTGGAGGACTATATATGTTTGTAAAATACATTTGAAAATTTTGAATTTTGAAAAAAAAAGTTTGGCAGATATGATTGTATGTCAAAAAATTTAAAAATGAAAGAAAACAAAAATGTATAAAAAACTTAAATCATAGAAATAACACCAATGTTATTAGTTACTCTTATATACTTTAAAAATGCCTCGAAAGCGGAAATCTGCGCTATCAAGAAATTCTTCGTCGGTCCGTAAAGATAAAGTTGCACAAAATCAAGAATCTGAAGTTCACGCAGAGCTGAGAAGACAACAGCAAACAGAGCGACAACGTGTTTTGAGAGCAGCTGAAACTTTTCATCAGACACGAGTACGTTCAGAAAGACAAGCTAAGCAGCAGGAAGCTAGAAAAACGACGGAAAGAATTCATGACGCAGAACTAAGGACCACGCCTCGTCGAAATTTCATGACTAAGGATTGGTCTGTATTTAATGGTACTGGTTTTCAATATGATCCTTTAGTTGAATATTCTAATCATCCCTTAATTGTTCTTGGCTCAATGGATAAAAAATGTCAGCATTGTAATGCTTTTAAATGGAAAGACGAAACTGCTGGAATGTGCTGCAGCACTGGTAAAGTTTCACTTCTATTACTTGGTGAATCAGAAGAACCTTAAAAAACTTTATTATTTAGTGTCACAGCTGAGTCAAAACGATTTCTAAGTAAAATAAGGAAGTATAACTCTTGCTTTAAAATGACATCCTTCGGAGTTGATAAAGTGATAAGAATGCCTGGATTTTCACCAACCTTTACTGTATAAGGACAAATATATCATCAAATTGAGACATAGTATTACGAGCACATAATAATGCGTTTAAGCGCGTAGCCGATACTGATAAATTTTATGGCGCTTCGCAGTATCCATTAATTTTCAGTAAAGGTGAAACAGGATATCATTTCAATATTTCAGTCATCAATCCGACAACGAACGAGCCACTTTCAAATAAAAAAAGTTTCCTGTATGGACTTTTATGCGTATTATATGATGCTTCGAGAACATGACTCCAATCTTCTTCTGCGTACAAGGCATCTCTTCACTCAATTTTTAGTAGATATGTATATTAAAGCAGAGAGTCTTCGTCTTCGTTACATTTCTCTAAATCAGAAAAAATTACGAGCTGAAAATTACATACATCTACACGATGCGATTAACGCAAATGACAATATTAGACCTAATGACATTGGCAAAATGGTTATTCTGCCGTCCAATATTGTGAACAGTCCCAGTTATCTGCATGAGTACACTCAAGACGCATTTACTTATGTACGAACTTCATGTTTTCCGTCAAGTTTTACATAGAATAAAATCCTGCAAAGGGAGTCTTCTTTCTCGATGCACCATGAGGAACCGGAAAAACGGTTTTGCTCAACTTATTATTAATGTACATCAGAAAAAACAGACAAATAGCAGTTGCTGTAGCTTCTTCGAGTATTGCAGCATCGCTTTTAAATGGCGGCCGTACGGCACATTCCGCCGCAAACAAACGGACTCTCGCATTTATAATTTTAGTAGAGATTAAATATTAATGTATATCTAAATATCATAAATACTATTTAATTATTAAGATAGCGTAGCAACATCATAACTATAATAAGGATTTCATTATCCGGAAACAGACCAATATCAAGATCACAACAGATATTCAATTATCCAGAAAGCAGAGTGGGCGGACGAATCCATAAAAGTATATATAAATCATTAAAATAAGTAGAAGATATATTGCACTAAGTCTAGAAACTAGACGACTTATGCAAATTCTTTAGACAAAGTCATTGTATAGAGTTATTGATTAAATCCCGGAGTACTTCTTTCCGAGCCAACTATCACCCTGAAGAGCAAATTAGAAATACTCGGGGACATAGATCGCGGCGTGAAAATCCCGAGAAACGATGTGTTGACTAAGTTGTAAATACTGTTCAACACAGAACAAGGTGGCAGTATCCCAAATTCACTCTGAAGAGCAAGTGAGAAATTCTCGGGAACATAGGTCTCGACGTGAAAATCCCGAGGTGAGATACGTTGAATGAATTATATATACTGCTCAACGTAGGACAAGGCGGAAAGATCTAAAAATCCTAATTATAGGAACAATTTTATAGATTTCCAAAAATTTATTTTCAACTATATGGTTTTCACACCAAGTACGCAAATTAAATTTCAAAACTTTTGCTCAATGCCACCCGAATACTGCATTCGCCTTCTTTTTAGCCCAAGGTCAGGTCAGAGTTTATTCAAAGGTGCTGTGGTTAATATACCCATTTCTGGTAGCAATACCGAGGTCGTTTTATGAGCTTCATGTGATACAAATTCACTTAAGAAGGCATTTGGAATACAATTACCTTTCAGGTAATCATATTCCTATAGCACCTGTACCTCCAAAGCTAAATACAGACGGCCAAGAGACGCTTTTGGAAAATATTCCTGTAGAAAACTTAGACTATAACCATTTAGTTATAGCATCAGGCGAAGGGCGAAGTATTCTCATTTGATACAATATGTTGTGTTCTGAAACGTACGTACTCTGAGGTATACAGTTAAATAGTACATTCTGAAATTTGCCGTTTTGATAAAAGAGCGCATACCATTTGAAAGTTGTTATACAATTATGAAATGAGAATAATTGAAAATTAAGAATAGTACATCCATTTGTCTTAAAAAGTTTTTAGGTCGTAACTCCGTTAAACGAAAATGATCACTGAATCTTAGTGAATTGAGCTTTCGGTCATTATCTATAAAACTTTTTTGATGTGCATACTAGCATTTGGGACAGTGCATACTAGCATGAAAGTATTTGTGTCTCCATTTCAAAGTAAAGTTTTCAAACTTAATGCAACTTTTCTTTCTTTATTATATAAAATATATTAAAACATAAATATTCTAATTAAGAAATCTAAAATTATATTTGTTACCTGTTATTATAAGACATCTATAGGTATATATAAAAATTAAACCCGTTTCATGTTGTCACGTCATGACTTGAGAACGGCTAGACCGATTTGGCTGTTTTTTTTTGTAGTTTTCTAATACTCTGTAGAATATATATATATATATACCTCTCAAGTACGATTTTTCATAATTTGAGAATTTAGTATACAAATTGTTCTAATTAATTTACATTTCACTGTGAATGTAAATAACTGATGCGACATTTCCTACTTCTGATATGAGTATGGTATACTTTTTCACTTTGCGAGAGTATAAAATGTTCAGTTACACCCGAACTTAGCACTTCCTTACTTGTTTTTCTCTTCTTTTTCGCTTTGGCTTTTATTTTATCATAAAATGTGGTTAAGTAAAATTTGAAACTAGTGGACCCCGGCCACGTGTTTCTTTGCCTAAGGTATACACATGCTACAGTAATCATCTACTATTCAATACAGTAAAATTGTAATTATGAATAAAACGAAAACGTTATTTCCGGTGTTAAAATTTGAACATTAATCTAAAATTTACAAATGATACAAATTTTCTTAGTTTTGTTGTTACACACAAATAAACTTTATATTTAAGTTTGTAACAAATAAGTAATATTCAATATATACAGTTATACAAATTTTCAAATTCAATTGGATTCAAATTCGTAAATTCTGACAGTATCATTGGAAAACGTATCAAGCGAATCATTTCTTTATTAAATTTTCCAGTCAAAATTGTTGCTACAATTATATTTCCGGGAATATTTTTGATTACATAATTGAGTTGGATTGAAATTACGCTGAATAATAACAGTTGACCCAAAAAAATTAATAACAGTTGAAACATTAAAATTCTGAGGACAGTACAGTGCTTCATAACAATTATTTTCTCCAAAAATTTACCATAATTGTTCCAATTATGAATTAATATAATAATATTTTATATGAATATTTGGCTGCAATACTATAATTTAAAATTAAGCTTCTCAACGTTCATCATCAAAATTAAAATAATATTCTCCTAAAATAAATAAAGTGTACAATAAATTGATGGATCAGGGGGCCATAACCCTACATCCCTCTGATCCCAGGTTTTCTCTCTACGGCCCTGAGTATACACTAAATATTATTATAATAACATAGTTTATGTATTTAATCGGTTAGTCTGGAAGGCTATTATGCCACGACTGGTCCTTAAGTTATGGAATATTATATAAAAATAAAGACAAAACGATATTGCAGGTATAGGAATTCAAAGGATTAAACTCGCAGCCTTACCGGTTACACATAGTGCGTCCAAGAAGAAAAAAACTGAAGTTTTCGATGCTTTGGCCATGATATACATTGATATTTTTTTCTTATAACTATAATAAAATATTATTTACGAATAAAGGCGAAGACGTAATTGCCGGTATAAAAATCCAAGGGATTGTACTTGAGGTTTAATTTCGAAAATGATTTATACAAATATTTGTTAATGAAAAAAAATAAAGAATTTTCCATTTGACATTTTACTGAACATTTTATTTTATTTTGGAATTTTGAAAACAAGCTTATGTTTATAAATATACTAGCTGACCCGGCAAACGTTGATCTGACATATACGTTATTTTTTAAAAGTATTTGTGTGTTGGGGATGTAAATATAATTGAAAAAGGAATGAAGAGTTGTAGACGATTAAAGTTTACTTTATTTATGTTAATAAGTTTACTTTATTTATGTTAATAAATTATTCTTAATTAAAAATAAACAAAGATTAATTTCCCAACGAAATCGAGTAAACAATATTTTTGCTCAGTCCGTACTTAGCTAATAGAAACAAACTGGAGGGTTTGCCCACTCGAGAACATGTCACAAAGATTTGTCCGTGGAAAAAGCATATTGTATCCAAAACTTAGCCACAAACAGACAACGTTTGGACTTGTGACTTATTGATCCTCATTGCGAATCTATATCTAAAGTTAAGTGCGAATATTTTGTGAGTTAATGAATGTGCAAAAATTCGTCGGTAATTTTATGCATCCTGTATTTTAACGCATAGCAATTCCTCCATATTACGCCATAGTCGCGATGATTTTAAGCTAGCGTTGATTTCATTTGCATACGTTGAACGTGGAATAACGGGAAGCATCTGTCTGAAATCACCTGAAAGAAGTAAAGAGTTCCACCAAATAGTTTGTCGTTGTTTTTTATATCTTTCAAAATTCTATCCAATGCCTCAAACGAAAGTTTGTGTGCCCTAGTGCATTCATCACAAATGATAATTTTACACTCTGGCCATGGACGATTGTTTTTTTTTTTTATTTCACACTGCATATTTGTTATTTTAAATGTCTAATAGTAGCTTAAATGCTGAATGAGCTTCTCCGCCTACATCTTGCTGATGACAATGCAATGATTCTCTATAACAATCAATGCTTCATTGTACATTGCGTCACTGAATAATATCATTAGATTGTTGCACCTTGTACGTTGTCGATATAATCGGCCCTATTCCCGTTGTCGTTTTCGTTTTAAAACAATTGACCAAAAAACACTTTAGAATTTAACGTGTCACCCTTTTGCGGCCATTAGCGCCTAAAAAGGGTCAGCTAAGATGGCGCCAACTATTTGATTCATGTAGCCGCACAGGTGCACGTTAATTAGAGACATCAATCTAAGATATAGGTTGAACAGGTGAGTGAACTCGCTTTGTCATTCATTTCACGATATGGTGCTGGCATTCCTAACCTGATTAATAAATTACCGCACATGAGGTAACACATATCTTCTATCAAGAGTAAAGCACGATTATGTATCTCCTCATTCATCTCAATATCATGATTTCTGGAACTGTCACGAATTTGATGTAAAATATCTTCTGACACATTATCCTTGTATTTGTGCCACAGGTTACATGGGTTTGATGGAAAACATGTCGAAATTATGATAGCGAATAATGTGCGTATCTGACTTGGAGATGCAGAGATAATGGCTTCAGCGATCGTCGTATCGGTCGTATCCCAATGACTATCGTTTTCTAATAAAAACCAGACAGTATTAACTGGGTTATAAATACTTTTTTCTATGGGAGAGTAGAGTTCAGAATTAGCAAATATACTACATAGGTACCAATAGATAAAGTAAGTTATTCTTTAACTACATTCTATGAAAGTACAAAAATAAATACCTTAAATTTCGGATTAAATCCTCGTTCTTCGATAATATCTGTCCCAAATGACGTCATCTGGAAACAACCATTGTATTTTTGAGTATTTGCTAGAAAGTGGCGTGATTCTTGTGTTTCGCCACAAAGCAATGAATACAATGGCTCAGGTGGCGGAGTCAGTATGGAAAAAAACTTACTTAAAA